TCCTTACTACAGATTGGCTGTAGCGGCAGTGTCAGGCTGGCGGCATTGATCCTGCCTCTCGTCCCGCCAAGGGCAACACGATCAGAAAAGGCGGCTTGCGCAGAGACCACATTCACAACCAATTTCTCATCCCGATCCGTTTTCTGGTCGGTCCAGGGTTCCGGGAACTACCCTTCCATGCCAGAAACGGAGAAGCAAAACAAACAACACACTGCAAGTTGTCCAGGACGCTTGAGCCGCTGAGCCTCAGAACGTGTGCTAGCGCCAACGTGTGCTTGTCCACCGAAGCCTGTCAGCACGGCGCAAGCGGTGCAACGAGGGCAAGCACACGCTGCGCGCTATCGGCAGAACAGAAAAAAGAAACACACACACACACACTTGGGCTACCACGCGACCTGAAGATCATGGCTGGGGGTACGGGGAGGAGCGCGACCGCGCGCGTAGGAGGCAAGGACCCACGCAGAGCAACGGGCATCGCCGCTGCGCATGTCCCAGCTGCCGTGGGCAGGTAGGTGCTCTCTGGGGGCCTGCGCAGACCTCTGGGGACCTCCAGCGGCGCCCCACCCACGCAGGTCTGGATGACCCCAAGCTGTTGCTGAAATTCGAGGGGTCCGCCGCCAAGGCGAAACAAAAAGGGACTACACTGCGTTTTCGGGGCGAATCGCTCGCCCTCTGTGAACAGTTGTGCCCTCGTCTCCCTCGGGAGGGCGGGAGGGGACGCCTTGAGGCTGAACAGACCAGCGGCGCCCAGGAAGGTGTGGGTCACGGATCGGGGGGCACTATCAGAAGCCCTCCTGGCCTCTGCGAAGCTTCCTACGAGCCCCCAGGCCCTTTTTGAAAAGCCCCCCTGTGCCATTTCCAGAAGAAAACTGAAAGGGGCCCACAAACACACAAATAAATACACACAAATAAAAAGATTCCCTATACTTTCCTATACTTTCTGGGTTTCTGTCTTCCCCCCACTTCCCATATGTTCCTATATTTTCCTGGGAGGGGACGATTCATTGTGTCTGTGTGTGTGTGTGGTTTTCCCTCCCGAAAAACAGCATCACCAAAACCTTTCGGAGCTCCGCGGGTCTCTTGGACCTGCGCCCCCCCCGGCGCGCGGAGCGCGCCCAGGGGCGGCGCCCGAGGCACCGCCTCCGGGGGCCCGGCGAGGATCCGAGAGAAACTCCGCGCGGACCTCCGACGGATTATGTTTGCAGTGTTCTGTTTTCCTCTATTCTTACGAAGGGGCCCTGGGACACACAAATAAAAACACACAAATAAAAAGGTGCCCCACATTTTCCCATATTTTCTGGGTTTCTGCCTTCCCCCCCACTTCCCATATTTCCCCATATTTTCTGGGGGATCGACGATTAATTGTGTCTGTGTGTTTTTTTCCCTCCTGATCTTAGAATGTCAGAACCCTCGGCGCACCGCCGGCGCACGAAGCTCATCCGATCCCTCCTCCAACTGATCTTCCACTGCCCTCCCTTTTTGCAACATGCCGCTGCCCCTGCTGATGTTTTTCTCGTCCTCCTGTCAGCCCAACGCACGCGGGAGAGTGAACAGGAACGGCGTCAAACTTGACACGGGGTGCGCCCCTCACCCCAACCAGTAAGAACACGTGCGACCAACACATCGAATCGCACACGCACGCGCACACACGCACAGACACACACACACACAAACAAAGAAACAAACAAACAAACAAAAGACACAAAACAAATAAGCATGTACTCACACACACACGCGCGCGCGCAGACACACAGACAAGCATACAGACAGACAGACAGACAGACAGACAGACAGACAGACAGACAGACAGACAGACAGACAAACAAACAGACAGGCAAACAGACACACACACACACGCACACACACACATGTTTTTTGCGTCGGCGGCTAGGCAGGGGTCGTCTGCGCTGGCGGACGGGGCTAAGTAAAGGGGGGCACCTTGGTAGCGAATCGGCCAACATGCGAGGGAGGGACAATGGGACAGATCAGGCGTCCGCAGAAAGGGGGGGGGGCAAGGCGACGGCCACACAAAAAGAACGGATCACTTCCCCTGGTGCGTTGGCGCGGCCAACCCTGCCGGCGGGTACTGAGGCGGTGGCTGCGCCGGCGTGCTTGCTGAGGCGGGGCCCACTGCAAGAACCGCAGGTCAAAACAGCGCGTAGCCGACGAAACGGACGAGGTGCAAGGCCGGCGGGCCGCGCGCCCCCCAAGGTGGGGGCGCGGAAGGTGCGGAAACGAACGCTGCTTCCAGACGGAACGCATCCAGCAAAGTGCCGGGCCAGCGCGGGGGGGCGGGCGGCAAGACCACGCCCAGGATCCCGTACGCGTATCGGGTGCAGGCAGCAGTCCAAGCGCCATCGGGGCACGCGGAGGGAGGGAGAGCGGGAAGGGGGCGGGCGGGGGGGGGGCAGAACGGGGAGGGGGGGCGCCCCGCCTGCAGGAAACTCTACAGGCGGGGCGGCAACGCCGGGACCGCGCTGGCGGCAGCAGGCTGCGTGCAGCGCGCTGGGCGGTGAGCTGAGGGACCCCGAAGTACGCCGGCCTGGGACAGGGGCAGGGGCGGTGCGCCGAAGCAGAGAAAAACAAATGAACGAAAACTAGAATGTTGTAAGACTCCCCCGAAGACACGAACAGCTTGTCAGAAGGGGCGATGGCTTCTGAGAAGCCCCGCCGCCTTCTGAGAAGGCGGCCTCCTTCTCACTTCCCCCCCTCGCTGACCGCCAAGAGTCGCATGAAGAGAACCGTGAACAAGCGCATGCAAGCAGAAAACGCCGACGAGGCCATGCAAGTGCAGGAGCGCCAGGAGCGAGAGGAGCGCAACCAACGCAATTGTTAAAAAGGCGGGTGAAAAGGGTTCGACGCAATGGCAGTTCATGCAGATGAAGGGGCACGGAAGCAACGGGAGGCAAAGGGAAAGCTCAACCTGCACAACTGTACGAGTGAGTGAGGCTTGCACAACTTTCATCCGCAGCCAACACACACAACCATACACAAATGATACACACACAAACAAACAATCACAGGCGCGCGCGTGCGCGCGATCACACAAGCCCTCAAGAATAGTCAAATCCTGGCTCGGATTGCGGGTAGCCTTGACCAGCTGGTGTTTCACACAAATGTACGCAGGCTTGATGTTCTGGTCGAGTTGCTCCCGCAAGGTCCTGATGCTGCTGTACGTGTCCTGTGTCCTGCAAGCCCCCAACAGCAAATCGCTGAGACCGATGTCACTGCCCGTTGCTTCAGACCTATATTCAGCAGCTACCCGCAGTGGGATGAGAGAAACGTGCTGGGCGAGCAGTGTAGCCTTCAACATGGCAGGTGTGCCACAAAGGCAGGACACAGCAACAGCCAGACATCACGAAATCGTCATGCCTTCTTCCACTGGGCCAAACTCCTCATCAAATCACGATGCCCGCCAATGACCCAAGCCCCAACATGCAATAAGTGTGCACACCCGTCCCCCCGCGCCAAATACAGCATCGGAACACGGACGCGGTGAGCTGAAACGTGGCAGCGCAGCTGTACACGTAATCCAGACCGCGGACATGTGAAGCAGCAGCACAGCCCGTCCAGGCTGGCCCGCAGCGGAGGGCGCCTCGACGTCTGGCCGTGGCGGCACAAGGCCACGGCAACGCTGCGGAGAACAACCACCAGAGCTCTCGACATCTGGGCCAAGGCTGCGCTCCACCCCTGAGAAGAGGCAGAGAGCATGCACCAGCACCGGGCATCCACAGGGCCCGCTCTCGAGGGTAGCTATATGTTCGAGCTTCGCGCTGCATCGAAGCGCAAAGCGCCAATCACTTCGCGCTCTCGTGCCGCCCCCCCCTGGGAGAGAAGAGGAGAACGAGGAGGACGAAGATGAGGAATTGCGAATCGCGAGACGCGAACCGCGAATAACTGCACCCCCTCGCAGCGGCCATTGGCTCTGGGTGCGGTCCTGCCAGCGGAGGCGAAGTCCACACGGAGTAAGTCCCTACGGGGTGCTCGGCCTCCGTCTCGGCTTACTCCTTCTTGACTTAGCCTCTCCTGATCCTGGTGCACGTCGGCCCCTGGACCAGGACGGGAGGCAGACGGACACCTAGCCCTGGCCCGGACTGGACCTGCTCATGGCCGCCGGGCCCCACCACCAGGCCCCGGTGGTGGTGCTCGCCGTCGCTCCCCCGAGACACTTCGAGAACGGCCCACCGCCCGGGAGGAGGAGGCACGCGGCGCAAGGCAGCGATGAGCGAGGCGTGCGACGCCGTCTCGGGGTGAGGCAGCGAGCGGCAAAGGGAAGGGAGGGCGGCAAGACGCCGCCATACGTCAGAGGCCGTAGACGGACGGCCCTCTCCCGAGAAGCCTCGAAAGCGGCCCACCGCCCTGGAGGAGGAGAGAAGGGCTGAAGAGAAGAGGAGGGGGGGGTCGGCGGAGCGAGAGAGAGGAGGAGGGGGAGGCCCGCCCCGCGGCAGCGAGGGGGTACTCCTGCCGGAGCTATTATCGTTATCATTCGTGTTTTTGCTCGTCGTCGTCCTCCTCCTCCTCCTCCTCCTCTTCCTCCTCCTCCTCCTTCTGAAGCGCCACCTTAGGCAGGCGGTGCTTCACCTTCATGAGCGACGCGCAGGCGCCAAGTTTCTGCCCTCTCTTCCGCAGCCTGTTCGAGTTTGTCATGATCAGGTGTATGCTATGTTGCAATCCTCCAAGTGGACCCCGCGGGAGAAGGGCTCTATGAAGGCCCTTGCGTGCTCGGCTGTGTGGACAAAGACTCGGGCTCGCAGTGCTGGTTATGATCAGGGCGACGTACTTTGTGTGCTCTGTGGAGGTGCCGACGACACCCTCTTGCACAGATTGTGGCGTTGCCCCGCCTGCGAAGATATACGCAAGGAAGTACTAGGGAAGGATGCTTGGCTTGCCCCTCCCCTGGACCTCTCGGAGCAGAGTGACCCCGAGCAGTACCTACTGTATACCCGTGGTCTTTATGTACACCCTGGAGACTACCTCCCCCGTCCAGCACATGAAATTGATGGTCCTGGTTCTGGGATTCAGGTGTCTTGGGCTGGGGACCCGTACAACTCCAGTACCTCAGTCTGCGGTAGGTTATATGTAGATGGCTCTTGTTTTAGGAATGTGTCTCCTGAGCTCTCCAGGGCGGGGTGGTCTGTGGTTAGCGTCTCAGAAGCAGGAGAAGTGCTGTGTGTTATTTCTGGGCCGCTCCTGGCCCACTTTCCCCAAACTTCTCAAGCTTCTGAGTATGCCGCATATTGTATCGCCGCCCAGTGTGGGGTGGAGGGCAGTCACATCTACAGTGACTGTCAGAATGTGGTTTCCGCCGCTCTCGACCCTATCCCAGCGCGGCTGTCTTTTCGCCGACCGTATGCGGGTTTTATGCTTCAGGCGTTGGGCCCTATCGCCAGTGCTGTCAGTAAGGTCAAGGGGCATGTCCTCGACAGGCCCGACCTCTCAGATGAGGCGAGGGCCCACAAGCTAGGCAATGACACTGCTGACCAGGCCGCTCGCCTCGCCGCCCTGAGGCATCCGGCCCCCGCCCCTGTGGACGCTGAGCGGGCCGCGCGCTCGGCGCGTATTGCGAGGGCGGTCTGCAGGCTCGCTGCGCGGGTCACGTCTCTCTGGCCGAGGCTTGATCTTTCGGAGGCCTCCAGGACCAAGCCCCCCTCCTCCTTGAGGCCTCCCCTCCCTTCTCACTCCTGGTCCTGGGAAGGCAGGTTTTGGATTTGTAGTTCGTGTTTTCGGTGTGCCCGTGGCCCCCAGAAGCCTCACCCTGGAAGGTGCCGAGGAGCGGCCACCATCAAAGGCATCACAGGCCAAGGGCTGCTGGACCATGGGCACAGACCCATCTATTTTGATGTGAATCAGGGAGGGGGCTTGCTTGTCGCCTGCACCCGCTGTTGCTACTATACGTGCGGTGGGCAGGTCAGGAATCTCGGCAAGCCGTGCTGTGGGCCCCCTGACCCCAAGCGTAAGTCCGATCATGGCAGGAGGCATGCCTGGGGCCAGATTTTAAAGGGGAAGCACCCCAAGTCGGGCGCCAGCCTATCGACGGGGCTGGATGATCCAGCGACCTCGTCGGATGGGCCGCCCGTCGACCCGTCCCTTCCCCTCGATCCTGCGATGCCGCAGCAGGCGCCCGTGCCCGAGGCACCTGCAGTGGGCGGAAGTACAGGCGTGGGTTTGTCTACCCAACGGGGGGCGCGGTGCGAGTGGGGACTGCCCGGCGGTGCGCCGTTAGTGACCCTCGCACCGTTGCTCCCCCGCTCTCGGCACTGTCCTCACTGTCCTCCTCCTCCCCAGGCTCCCATCGAGGGCCCCAGGCAGCTGGAGGGGCCCCCAGGCCATGCCAACGATTTCGAAGCAGAGGAGGAGGCCGTGGAGGCCCTCTTTGCCGACACCCAGGCGCCGCCCGCGCCGCCAGCCCCTCGAGGCCTGGGACTTTCTTCTTCCCCCTCCCCTCCCAATGCGGTGGGCGTGGGGGGCCCCTTTTCCCCTTCCCCCCCAAAGGGGGGGGAAGGGAAAGAGCAGCTCCGACGAGTCAGGTTCCGCCTCCAGGAGGAGGAGAGTGCGGGTCCCGTCCGAGCTGCTCGTGTAAGGTCTGCGGTGTCCGTCGACTCCGACTGACTTCGGTCCCTGGGGTGCCCGCCGCTTGCGTCGGCCACCGCCTCGGTCCGCTTCCGCCAGCTCTGATTCAGCCCAGGCTGATTCAACCTGTCGGCCTCCCTCCGCGGTTGATGTGGAAAATCCTCCTCCTCCTCCTCCTCCTCCCTCCTCCTCCTCCTCCTCCTCCTCCTCCTCCCCCTCCCCCTCCCCTCTCCTCCTCCTCCTCCTCCTCCTCCTCCTCCTCCTCCTCCTCCTCCTCCTCCTCCTCCTCTCTCCTCCTCCTCCTCCTCTCCTCCTCCTCCTCCTCCTCCCTCCTCCCTCCTCCTCCTCCTCCTCCTCCTCCTCCTCCTTCCTCCTCCTCCTCCTCCACGACCTCCTGCTGAGAGGAACCCCGACCTCCTGGAAGCCACCAAGAACCGGGAACCCATCATCATCCACCTACTCCTCCCCCCCACCCCACCCTCCTTTTCCGATTGTTTCTCCCCTCTCCTCCCTCATCCTTCTCATCCTCCTGCTCCTCCTCCTCCTCCTCCTCCTCCACCCCCTCCTCTCTCTCTTCCTCGTCCTCCTTCTCCTCCTGCTTCTCCTCCTCCTGCTGCTCCTCCATCCCTGCGCGCCTTCTCCGCCGGACCGATGTCGCCTCATCGCCCTCGCTCCACACCCTGCCCCTCGTCATCTTCCACCTCCACGACCTCCAGTGAGCTGGGGGAACAAATTGTTGGCACGTCGAACCCCTCCGACCCAGACGCCTGCTCGCGGCTGGCGCCCGTCAAGCCGGAGCTACTGAGAGGAATCCTGACCTCCTGGAAGCCACCTAGAAAACACACGTCTAGGAACCCATCCTCATCCACCTGCTCCTCCCCCCTCCCCACCCTCCTTTTCCAATTGTTTCTCCCTCCTCCTCCCTCCTCCTCCTCCTCCTCCTCCTCCTCCTCCTCCTCCTCCTCCTCCTTTTCCTCCTCCTCCTCCTCCTCCTGCTCCTCTTCCTCCTCCTCCTTTCCTCCTCCTCCTCGTCCTTCTCAGCCGTGACCCATTGCCAGCAGTGCCCCCCCTTCGTTTGCTCCTGCTCTTCTCGCCGACCACCAGCACGGCGTCGAGAATGCCCGGGACCGCCCGGGCGGGGCTGAAGCAACGGGGGCGCCGCGAAGGGGGGAGGCAAAGGAGGCATCGCCAGCGGCGAGCGAGGGGGGAAGGCGGCGGGGCTTCTCAGGAGCCCTCGGGCCTTCTGAGAAGTGCTCTGCGTCCTCGGGAAAGGCTTAGACAAATTCTCAGGAGGCCCTCGGCCGTTCGATCCTTCTATGAGGGCAAGCCTCCTCGGAGTTCCCCCCCGCCCCTGTGCTGGCCGCCGACGTCGGGCGCCGCGGGAGGAGTTCGAGAAACTCTGCGGAGAGGACGTCATGCCCAAGACCTCATGCGCAGCAATGCTAAGGTCGCAGGGTGAAGACGAAGGGATTTCGCCGTCCACATCGGCGAGGGAGCTTCATCGGCGCACGACCATCCGAACTGGACGCGCGTGAATGTGGGTGGAGGAGGCAAAGGGATGCAAGGGCAGCTCTGGTGAAGCACTGCATATGTGCGTCTGGCATTGACTGTGTTGGGGGAGCGGGTCTGGGACTCGGGCCATCGCCATCTGCCCATATGGTGGTACTCGTGTATGAAGGGGGAGGGCGAGGTGGAGGAGCGAGGAAAGGGGGAGGGAGGAGAAGGGGGAGGCAGGGGGGCGGCGGGCGGATGGGGAGAGGAAGGGGAAGACACGCTGCTTTGATTCGGTCGGGCTTCTGCGGAGCGGCATGCCGCAGAGGAACTGGACGGGAGCTGCACAAGAGCCACCTGCAAACGGGCACGCACGCGCAAGGACAGCGACCTCCTCCGCCGGGTCCAGCTTGGAACATCCCAGACTGGGGATGTTAGCGAACAGGCAGGGAAAGAAGGATTCAAAGGGGAAAGAAGAAGGCATCACGGAAAGTCGGGCAGAGACAACCCATGGCACCCGACAAGGTCCGCTGCTACTCCGAGCCATACCTGTGTAGGGGCACGCCCACAGGCCTACAGGAGGCGCGGAGACGAATTGGAGAACT